CCGCAGGAGCTCGGGGGGTCGGCCGACGGTGCGGGCGCCGCCCCCGGGCGTAGGTAGGAACGCCATCTGCGAGGCCGCCAGCGCGCGCGGCGCGTGGCCCAGGGCCAGCATCAGGCGCAACGCCTCAATGCAGACCTCCAGCGCCGCGTCAGACAGCAGCGCCACGTGCCGCGGGTCGAGCGCCTCGCAGTCCAGCCCTGTCACGTGCGGGAAGGCGTGGCCCACCTGGCGGAGCTCCTCGACCGTCGGCAGGATGGGCGCCGCGCCCAGCTCAGCAGGCCATGGCGCAGCCTCGAGCCCAGTGCCCTCGCCCCAGAGCGCGTGCCATGGGCGGGCAGCAGCCTCGGCGACAAGCTGCGCCGACTGGATGCCCGCAGTCGGCTGCCAGCGCGCCGCGGCCCAAGGCGCGGCCTCGCGTATCCAGCGGAAGCCCTTGCACATGCCCGCGGAGGAAGTGGCGTCGCGTGCCCAGTCCAGCCAGGCCTAGCGTCGGTGAGACGCGCACCCCTCCGCTGCCGTCGCCGCGCGGTGGAGGTCGGTCAGCAGCTTCCCAAAATCCTCCGAGCGCAAGTGTTGGAGGCGGCGTACTAGGTTTCGCCAAACCTGCCAGAGCTGCGGGTCGGCGCCAACGACAGGCGGCTCGAAGCGGAAGAGTCTCGCCTTCAAGCGCCGCGCTTGGGTCACGCTGCCGGCCTGCTGGAGGACGCGCCACTCGCAGCCAGCTCCAATGCTGCACGGAAGGGGTCAGGCTTGGCGGTGGGTTGCCAGTGGGCGCGCTGGCGATGCACCTGCGCCTGGACCAAGCGCGCGCCCTCGCTCCTGCCGCGGTTGCGATCGGCCTCCGTCCCTTCCACGAGACCGAAGTGCTGCGCCAGCTCGTCCTCGTAGCGGTCGAGGACGCGGCGGCAGGCCGCATCGAGGGCGGGCGCCATGTCGACGGACTTGAGGTCGTCGAGCACATCCTGCCAATCGGGGGTAGGCAGCTGCTGCCCCACCAGCGCCTGGGCAGGGTAGGGTCGTGGGCGTCGCAGGCGCGTGACCAGCGCGCCCGGGAGCTGCGGGGCCAGGCGGAGGGCAATCGCCCTGTGCGTGCGCACCGAGAAGAGCTCGCAGCGTCGCACCTCCTGCACCGCCGGGTCCTGGTCGACGCAGAAATCGTCGAGCTCCCTGGCTGAGGTGGGCGTCGCGCAGGTGGCCTGACGAGAGCAGGCAAGCCTCGCGCCGAGGGAGGGCAGCAGCTGCGCTTCTTCCATCACAGCGGGAATCATGTTCCAGTCGGCGCCCACGACGGGAGGCCGTTACATGGCCCTGATCACCGAGCCCACGTTCATCAACAGGTCGAGGTCGCCGCCGCTGAGGTCCTGGCCCGTGTGCAGGTAGGCTGAGACCAGCAGCATGCTTCCTTGGAGCCCACGTATGTCATCCAGAACCCTAGGCGCACGGAGCAGCTCACCGAGATGCGGTCATCGGCAATCTCGACGCGCTGGAGGTGGACCCAGGGGCGGACCAGGATGCCGACGCCAGCGGAAGAGCCTCCGCGCCCCGTGGCTACCGCAAGGACGAGGCCAGCCACCCATCCTGCGCGACGCGCTCCGCGCACTGCAGCCGTCGGGTGCCGATCGTCAGCGAGGTGGTGCCCCTGGGTCAGAATGGCCTGGACCGAATCGTCTACGTGGCCGCCCTCTAGATGTGTTAAGCAGGAGCCCCGGCTGTTAACGTTGACCGTCGGGATGTCGAGGTGCGCGGCTCGCTTGCGTCCTGCGCGGCGCTTGGCGCGGCTTCCGTGGGGTGTGGGGGTGGGGTGTGTGTGGGGGGGGGGGGGGGGGGGGGGGGGGGGCGGCGGGGGGCCCGCGCGCCGCGGGGCCGCCCCCCAGCAGGTGCCTCCCACGACCCAGCGCTTGCGCAGCTCGATGTAGGTGCCTCGCCGTTAGAGGAAAGGGATCTATTCACATGCGCCGATTCTGACCGGGCCATTCCTGAGCCCTGGATCGGTGCATGCGCCCTCTTGAATTGGCCAGGAAGACATTTGCACCGATTCTGGGCGCGGTTCTCTTCGCACGAGCCGTGGCGGGGCGCCCGCGCGCCGCAGGACTCCCCGGCCAGGCCGCCAGCCTGGCGCCAGCATGCAGCGTCTCGTGCTCCGCGAACCTTTGGCTGCGGGAGATCGTCACGCGGTTCAGGCGGGCCGCCGTCGCTCGGCGAGGCAGGGCGGGGGGCCCGCGCGCCGCGAGGCCGCTCCCAGGCATGCGCCTCTCGAGGCCACGCGCTAGTGCAGCTGCGTAGACGCGCCATCCTGGCGGGGGGCCCGCGCGCCGCGGGGCCGCCCCCCGGCCGCGCCGCCAGCCTCGCCCCAGCGTGCAGCGCCATGAGCATCGCGAACATCTGGCAGAAGGGAATCGCAAGGTGGCGCAAGAAGTCCAGGTGGCGCCCGAAGTCGGGCCGACGTCGCCGAAGAGCCCCACGGCAAACCCGAAGGTGAAGTCCGTTGCCCGTGCCCACCCACTACGTGGACCCCCGTTGTCGGCCCTGGGGGTGGCACCGTGGGGGGGTGGGCCTGGCCAGCGGCCGCCTCCCATCCTGCAGGCTGCAGGTGGGCGCGCACTGCGCGGGGCAGGGGCAACTCCGGGCCGAGAGGGGGTCGCAACGTGCTGGAAGGCCCGCGTAATACCGTGGCCGTTGTCGAAGGCGTCGGCCCCCCGCCGCGTCGCCAAGGGGTTCTCGGGGTCGTCCGCGCGCGTGCGTTGCAGCCGTTCAAAATGCCGCTCGCGTGCTGCGCGACGACGACGGAAGGCGGCCCAGCAGATGCCGATGGCGGGGTCGACGCGCGCCGCGCCAGCGTTGTCGCGCCCGTCGCGCTGGGCCCGTTCCCAGACCAGCGCGTTGAAGTGCGGGTGCCGACGAACGGCGCGCAGTGCTGGCGCCAGTGGAGGCCGTCGAGCTCCTGGTCGCGCGCAGGGTTCACGATCCAGTGTCCATTGTAGAATCGTAATGTTCGCGAGGGGCTCTTCTTCCCCTCGGGCACCGTGCGCCTCGCAAGGTCCGCGTCCTTGAACTCGTACTCTCCCGCTGAGTACACCGAGTCCATGTCCCGCTGGATGCCGCGCCTTGCAGCGCCCCTGCCTCGGAGGCGACCCCGTCGCGTGCGCTTCTGCCGCTGGGCAGCGGGCGCGGGCGACGGGGCGTCGGTCTGGACCTTGAAGGGGAACTCGCGGGCCGCAGAGTGGAGGGAATCAAAGCTGCCCAGACTGTCGTAGCCATCAAAGCTGCCAAGGTCCGAGCTCTGGTCAAAAGCCCGACTCGTCGGCGCCATCGTCCGCGGGGGCGGCGCTGGCGGCCTGGCTGGCACCGCGCACGCCCTTCGCGACGCGGCCCTAGCTGGCTGCGGCGCCCTTGCGGGGCAGCTGCGGGAGCGGCGCCTGCAGGAGGCGCGGGGGCCGCCTTCGGGGCCGCCTGTGGGGCCGCAGCGGAAGTGGCGCCTGCGGGCTAGGCAGCGCCCGCGCCGCTAGAGGGGCCCCGGGCTGCTCCTCCTTGGCGTCCTCGGCGGGCGGGGGCGCGCTCTCCGCCGCGCGCCTCTTCTTGGACTTGAGGCGCTCCCGCTGCTCGCGGCGTGCCTTCTCCAGCGCCTGCGCCTCCGACTGGAACTGGCCAAACGGCCCCTTGGCCATAGTGGCGAACTTGACCTGGAGCTTCTCGTGGCGCCGCTGCGCCCCCTGGCGATCGCTCTCCTCGACGACGTGGTCCGCGAGGGCCTCCAAGCCGAACGGGCCTTCGTCGCCCAGCGCCCAGGCCGCATCGCCCTCCGAGGCCGTCGATATGCCGAGGGTGGGAGCCGCGACCTCGCTGGCAGGCGCCATCGTGGTGGCCAGGGCCTGCGCCGGTATGGCGTAGGCCGCGGTGGCGCCGTCGAGGGCCGCAGTGCACTTGGCCGCGTGCTCCGTGGCCTGGGCGAAGCGCTGCTGGAGCCCGTCGGCGACGGCGAGGGCTGCGTCGAGGGCTGCACCAGCCGCGTCCCGCGCAGTGCCAACCTCGGCGGCGGACAGCGGCTTGGCCAAACGCTTGGCCCTGTGGTCGTCCAGCTGCCGCTTGTTCTTGGCCTCGCTTGGCCCGTCGCCTGACAGGCGGAGGAGCTCCACCAGCTGGACCAGCTTGGCCTCGTGGGGGTCCACATCGGCCTCCAGGACCCTGAGCCTCGCCGGACATGCGGACGCCGAGGCTGCTGCTGCGTGGGCGCCCTCCCGCGCCGTGAGCACCACCTGCGGCAGCTCCTGCAGCCTCCGCGTCTGGGGAGGGGCGGCCTCTGGGCGCAGGCTGCTGGGCGGCGTCGGTGCCGTCGGGGCCGACCGCCGCGATGCGCCAGGCGTCGGTGCCGTCGAGGCCCACTGCCGCGCTGCGCCAGGGCGGCGCGCGGGTCGCGCGGCCATGGTTGGAGGCCTTGCGAAGCCCCCCAGCGCCGCCAGCGCCAGCAGGCTGGCCCAAAACCAATCTTGCAGTGGCCGCGTCAGCCGCAGTGCCTCCACCCGCGGCGGCCATGCCGTGGCGCGCGGGGGACGGCGCCGCCGACCCGTGGTGGCTGTCCAGCATCGCCGCAGCGCCCTCCAGGCGGCAGCGCTGGCGGGGCGAAGGCGACCCCAGCCACGCGAACAGCACGGCGCGAGCAGAGGCGTGGTCGCGGCGGAGGCGCCGATTCCATGCCGCCCCCGATGTGAGCACGATTGTCCCCGCCCGAGGGGAGCCTGCGGCGGCCTGTCCGCCCCCAGGTCCTCGGAGGAGGAGGAAGAGGAGGAAAATGAGGAAAAGGAGGAGGAGGAGGAACAGGAGGAGGAGGAGGAGGAGGAGGAGGAGGAGGAGGAGGAGGAGGAGGAGGAGGAGGAGGAGGAGGAGGAGGAGGAGGAAGGAGGAGAGGGAGGAGGATGAGGAGGAGGAGGACGAGGATTGCGAGGGCGGGGAGGAGAGGAGGGAGAGGGGGAGAGGAAACGTATGAGGAGCAACTCCCGAAATGCCTTGGACTTCTTCAGCCGCTCGGAGCCCGCCAGGTCGCACAGGATGATCTTGCTGCGCAGCTCCTCTGCGCCGCTCGGCGGGCCGGAGCCCGCCCTCCCTCTGCCTGCGATGCTCGTCGTCGTCGTTGTCGTCGTCGTCGTCGTCGTCGTCGTCGTCGTCGTCGTCGTCGTCGTCCTCCTTTTCCTCCTTCTCCTCGTCCTCGTCCTCGTCCTCCACCTCCACCTCGCCCTCGTCCTCTGCCTCCTCCTGCTCTCCTTATCTCTCCTCCTCCTCCTCCTCCTCCTCGTCCTCGTGCTCCTCCTCGTGCTCCTCCTTCTCCTTCTCCTCCTCCTCCTCCTCCTCCTTCTCCTCCTCCTCTTGGGGCTGGGCCGCAGAGCCACGAAGGGAGGCCTTCGGCCGTCTTCGGCCGCCCGGGGCCCTCCCCGGGCCCCGCTGCGGTCGGACCTGCAACCCGCCGGATGACAACGTGGAGGCCGTGGGGATCGAGAAAGGCACGGTTCCGACCAGCCATAACTGGGGGAGCTATGGGAGGAGGAGGGGGAGGAGGAGGAGGAGGAGGAGGAGGAGGAGGACGAGGAGGACGAGGAGGAGGACGAGGAAGAGGAGGAGGAGGAGGTCCTTACCCCCCTGGGGGAACCCATCGCCTTGACGATCTCTCGAGTGGTGCCGAAATCGATGGGCCCCCCAGGGGGGTGAGGACCACAGCTCCCCCAGTTGTGGCTGGCCTGCGGTTGGCCTCCTGTCAGGCCGCGGGGCCCTGGGGCAATGTTGGAGTTGGGGCCGATCTGGGAATTCCAGATGCACTTCTCACCCCTTTTAACATGATCGCGGCCAAATGTGGCCAGCGTGCTGCAAATGCGATGCCGCCCGAGACTTCCTCAACAAAAGCTTTCCGATCGCCTTGCAAGGCGATCTGAAAATTTGCCATGGCATCTGAAAGTTGCGATTTCGCGTGGGGCTTCCTCTGAACAAAAACCAGATCGATCGTCATGCCGCTTGAGAATGGTAGTATCGCTTGAGACTTCCTCACAGGGTATTGCCCGGCCGCTTTTTACTCCGCCAGAGAGTTGCGATTTCGTTTGGGCTGTCCTAACAACCGCGCGTCTCGTCCACCCTTGCGGCGCCGTTCCTCCGTTCGGGTCACAAGCCTGTCTGGGAGTCATCTTGGGTCGATCGAAGGTCGAAGCTCGAGATTTCATCGATTGGCGAAGACCGGGGGGTTGTTCCCTCGCAGAGTGCCGATCACCACTTTCTAATCCAGGGGGTGGTAGGACAGAATAACATCCTTCAAGAGCATGAGACCCTCCGCCGGCCAAACTGAAGACCATTCGAGGGTACCCTCCCCCAGGATGCACGAGAACATGCAGCGAGCACGGAGAACATTAGGGTACCCTCCCCGAACCGACCTCGATCTTATACGTCGGTCCGATCATACAAGAAAGCTCGCCTCAGGATGAAAAACCAGTCCCGTGGAATGGGTCGAGGCATCCTGGGGCCCACGGTGGGGAAGATCACAATGTCGGGGGTCTGGGGAGGGGGGGCGGCCAGGGAGGACTGGCCTGGGGGGCGTGGACATCGATCCTGCCGCGGCGACGCATCGCCGGCAGATCGGCGATGAGCCACCTACAGCGAAACCGCACGATGACGGGGGGATTCTCGATGCGCCCTCCCCTGAACCTAGCCCCATCATCATCCTCATCCTCATCCTCATCATCATCCTCATCCTCATCCTCATCATCCTCATGCACCGCCTCCTCCTCATCATCCTCCGCCTCCTCCGCCTCCTCCTCCTCCTCGTCCTCCTCCTCCTCCTCCTCCTCCTCCAGCGCCCAAGACTGCCCCGGAGGAGGACTTCTGAATACCGAAGGCGACTTCGGAGAGGCCCGGGGCGAGGCAAGGTCCGCCAGCAGCGCAGCGCGACGTCGCATCGGGTCGGAGCGGAGCGCACAGCGGATCGGGCCGCAGCGGCGCGGAGCCGGAAGCGGGTCGGCCGCGCCGAGACGCACCGCAGCGCCGCGCAGACCTCGGGCCGCCTCGGGCCGTCGGAGTGGTCAATCGGGTCGGGCGAAAGTGGGGGATAGCAAAGGGGGGTTTGAGAATCAGCTCACGTAGCTGATTTTCCCGGCGCCGGGAGGCGCCGGGATGCGCCCATGTATCGAGGAATGGGCCCCTCGGTGAGGCCGAAACCAGCTGCATGCAGCAAATTTCGTATCCCCCCCTTTCCCAATCCCTCCCTTTCGCCCGGCCCGAGTCAAGCTCGACGTCGGATCAGAGCGCTCGGATCGAGGGTGGGCCCCGACGGGGGCGGGCGGGGGATGCCCACGGAGGGGGGCTATCGCGGTCCGGACCCTGCCCCCGATGACTTTCAGGGCGCGTGGAAGGTGTGCGCGCACATAGGAGCACGTGCGAGAGTCCGTACTCACACGTCCGCCACCGTGGCCCCCTGGCACGCTGAGGTGCGGCCGACTTAGGGAGGGAGAGATCAACACAAACACACGTACGTAAACGTGGGTTTCTCTGTCCATATGGGGAGCTGGGAAATGGAAGGGAAGAGGGAACTCCAAGACATACTGGAGGTGGGGGGGAGAGGTGGCACTGAAACAGAGCGCCCCCCACGGGGATATCGGCTTCGGCTTCGTGGTCGTACGGGCGGGCGGGGCGAGGCTGCGTGGGCGGGCGAGGAAAAGGATCCCAGCCTGGCCAGCGCGAAACCGGGCTCAATGTCCCTTCTCCCCCCGGTTGGCGGGCGGTGGTCCGGGGGTGTCCCAGCGGTGTCCCGTGGTGTCCCGTGGCGCGGTGTCCCGCGGTGTCTCGCGGTGGCCTGTGGATGTCGGTGGTGAGATCGAGAATGAGATCGATCGAATGAAATCGATGGTGAGATCTGTAGTGAGATCGAAAGTGAGATCAACGGTGAGGTCGATAGGTCGTAATAACGGTCGATCGAAGGAAATCGATCGTGGAATCGATCATGTTTTTCGTTCCGTGGTGTCCCGTGGTCCCCTGTGACCTTGTATGCTGTTCCGTGGGATCTCGCGGTGTTGCGGTGCCTCGTGTCGATCGATCGATCTTGGGACTGTTAGATAGGTAAGTCGACAGTGAGGTCGATAGATCAACGTCTCATGGTGCTCGTGGTGTCTCGTTAGCAGACTCGTGAGCACATCACCCGCATCGTCATCATCACAATCGTCGCAGTTGCCACCAGTCGCCCCCCCACAACCTCCTTCCCTTCTCACCCGAAGGGTTGTCGTGTATGTATATGAAAGACATAGGAAGTCTTGGAAGTAGTGTACCAGGTAGCTGGAAACATACGTGGCGGGATCCACATGTGGAACATCTGGAGGCCACTTGCTGCCTGCACATGTCGAGGATCACCGTGCGCGTGTTTTTGAAGCGCCCCATGTGTATCCAGCTTCCCGGCTGCTCATCGTCGACGTCGAACTCTTCGGCGTCTCGGCGTCCCTTCTTCCTCTCGGCCGTCTCCCCTCCCTCCTTGCTCGCCACCCAATTCGCCAATTCGTGCCCCTATCTATCTTCTCGCTGGAGCGGAGTTCGCCGCCTCGCCGCTGACGACAAAAGTGTATCCAGCTTTCCGGTAGACTTATTTGTGTCCCCCCGAGCCCCTGGAAGCCCAGCTGCCCCGATATGCAACACGCAACACGTACCGTATCGATACGTAACTCAACACGTAGGCTGAACACGTAGGTCCGACGCGATACATTCGCCAAAACGTGGCCCAATACGTGGAGCCAACACGCAACGTATTGACACGGACGTTTTGAACACGGGACGTGTTGAGTTTCAAAACGCGCGTATCGAGGCAACTGAGCCTGGAAGAGTGCCAGGCGCTGCCTGGTCTGCCAAGGGGATCCCCTTTTTTAGCAGGGTGCTGTGAGCACCGCTTCTTCCCCCCCCCCCCCCCTCTCTTGCCACCGCTCGGACGTCCACTTCCCGTGGATTTTTTCTCTTCGGCTTTCGAGCATCTGATCCTCATTTTTTCGATTCTCAACGCTCGAACTGATCTTTCCGATCTTCCCAGATCCGATCTTCGATCTTGCTCCTCGATGGTCCTCGCCGAGAAAAAAGGAAAAGCAGAGCACACGCCCGGGCGACGCCGAGCCCCCCCCCCCCGAGGGCTCCTGCACACGCCCCGACGCCTCCCCCTTGGGCTCTTCGGGAGCGGCCAATGAGGGGGTTGTGGAAGAGGGGGGGGGGTGCAACTCATGACCGGCGGCACGTGCGCGGCCCAGCGGGGGGGGGGGGGGGCCAGGGACGTCATGGAATAAGGAGAGGCGCCACGAGATCTGGGGAGAAATCACGGCCCGCTCCATGATACCCCAGATCTCGTAAGAAAGGGAGCGGGGTCTCATTTCGGGGGGGGGTCTCTTCCAGGCTATCTTGGAGGGCCTGGGGGGGTCTGGGGACGATGTTTTGGAGGGTCCTCCCGCGGGGGAGGGTCTCAAATGGCTTGTCTTGGGGGGTCCTCACCCCCTCCCTTTTATGACGAAATCTGGAGTACCCTTTCCGCGAGGAGCCCCCTTCCGCGACGAGCCCCTCCCCCTCAAAGTGCAATGGCAATCGTGCGAGCCTCCCATGCATTCCTGTCGGCTCTTGCGAATCGACGCTAAATCGACGCCAAACCGACGCTAAACCGACGATAATCGACGCTAGCCGACGCTAAATCGGCGCTATCTCATCGACTCCCATACGCTCGTCGACGCCCCCCCCTAGTCATCACCCCCCTCTTTTCCGCCCCCGAGGGCTCTCTCAAAAAGGCCTCCCCCCCGGGAGTGCGGCCGGGGCACTCCGCGCTCCGCGCGGCGGCCGCGGCGGGGCCCCCCCGGCGGCACGCCCCGCGAGCCCGGCGCGCGGAGCGCGCGCGTCTGGGAGGCCAGGCAGGAGGAGGAGGAGGAGGAGGAGGAGGAGAAGGAGGAGGAGGAGGAGGAGGAGGAGGAGGAGGAGGAGGAGGAGGAGGGAGGAGCCAAGCGCGACCCCTGCGCCCCCCCCCCCCCCCCCCCCCGCGATTGCTAAAGGGGGGGAGGCGGGCTTCGCTTCGCTCGAGTGGCC